TACCCTGAAAGATCTTAGATTGCCCCAAAATTACGGAAGACCCCCTGCAAAGAGCGGCAACTGTTTGCTGGTGCAAAGCAAAAAATGAAGCAAACTCCAGGGGTAGCTTGCATATTTTGGGCAGAACGCCTGCTTAAGCTAGCTTGTCCCAAAACGATCGGGGGGGATGTCCTTTTGGAAGGAAATTTGAAGGGTCCAGGCATCTTTCTGGCAGTTAAAACGGACAATGCCGGAAACCTCAAACTTGGCCCACATTCAGATTATTTGCTCATGCTTAGTCAACCCTAAAAGCATGTTTTACAAAAACATTTTTTGGAGGCAACCCAGTGGAACCTCGACCTGCGGCCATCCCGTTGGTTGACATGTGTGGCCTTCAACCTTGCAAGACCTCTTTGATGCCGGGTTTCGATTACAACACACACGACCAAACAAAATGGTGTTGCCAATTAAGCAATGTAAAGAATCGAGAGTTCCCAATTAAGGGCACAGGGTTTGGACATACACACACATGTCCCACCCTTTGGCAACACGGTCATATCCGCGGGGCGAAATTATAGTGAAGCACCAGGCCCCTTGCAAGTTTTCCACAAGCACAGGACCGAAATGATTGCATTCTAGAAGTTCTCAGGAAAGCTACGAAACATGCAGTCGTAAAAGAAAAGGGACAATGAAAAGTCACATGGAAAAAAGTCACCAAGAGCCACTGAAGCAGCCAATACTCCAACAACGGATGCGTAGAACCATCGTTTCGTTTGGCAATCACTCCCTTGATGCAGAAAACATGGCCCAACATGGCCCAACAGCAACTTTTCCACACGGGTGGACCCATCTTCGAGTTACTGGCCTTTTGTGTTCGGAGGCTTGTGGAAATGCGTCCCATTCATGCCTCCAAGTTTTTCTTCCGCTGCACGTACTGCTCCGTATGACTCTCCAGGCGTCCAGGAACATGCGCGTAGGCCTGCGACACACCAGCTCTTTGAAATTGGTGTGTGTTTTGTTGCAGGATGTTCTCTTCACTTAAGAAACCGCAACGGAAACCACCATTTTGAGGGTTCCACTATTTGACACACACACACACACGTCTGTTGTGCGCGCTTCGATGAAAGACAATGCAAAAACTACACTAGCGATCCCTAGCGGCAAGAGAGTCAAGGTTGTGCTCATTCACGATTGGCTTGTTCAAGAGCTTTCAAAGTTCGCCTCGGCTCCAAGGGCCGGGAAGCAGCCTCCAGCTGCCTCCAGCTAGCCCCCACCCCTCTTAATCTGTTTGGTCGGGAAAGATGGCCACACACGTCTCTGGAGCAGTTGTTGGCTTGTTGGTCGCTTAAAAGGCCGCTAACGGTGCCGGATGATGGGAAAGGATAGCGCCACGCTTCTCCCAAGGCAGCCACGGCGCCAGAAGAGACCAGCTAGCTTGTGCCATGATGCCACACGACACATGGCCGCAGTGAATGCCCAAATGTGCAGAAACAGCGCTGTCGTGGAACTGCAAAACTGCACCCTTCAGCTGAAACTGGTGACGAACAAACACCAGCCTGATCAATCCGGATGCGGCGACAGCTGGCTGAACAAGCGGCTGTGTCAAAGCATGCAGCATTGGTCAAGAGGAGCAGTGTTGGACACAGGACTGCCGCGCTGATGCTTGTGATGAAGCGTAGACGGATGAGCCTCAAGGCATTATTTGCCTGTTTTCTGGGTGCATGTGGATGTCAGGACCCGAAAGATGGTGAAGTACGCCAGCGAAGGCCAACGCCAGGGGAAACTTCGGTGGACTCGCAGCGGCACTGATGCTCTAATCGTTTGCCTCAGGGCAGTTGGATGCTGGCGATCCGGGGCTATTCGGCCTCTTGTAGCTGGCAACGCGGGAAGATGCCAAGCAGCTGGCCCGTGGCCCCGACTGGAGAAGCCCTACCATCACAGCAAAGCTACAGGCTAAATGTGCAGCAATATGCTTGCAGAGCAATCATGGCCGTGCGCCAGCTTCATAATTGCGTTTGCTCCCTGAACTAAACAGCGCAAGTATCCGATTCCACAAGGATATTTTCTCTATATCATATCTGAGAGCTTATCATTTTTGGGGTTTTCTGCAGCCGAGGAAGAAGAGCGAGGACAATAGTTGATTCCTCACATCGGCTTGGCTCTGGCCCCTTTTTGTCTAGGTAAGGTTCTCAAAAAACTCTCCACTTTATGGTCGCTGCCGCTACCTATTTTAGGTTGGACACCCTGTTTCCCTCTGGTTTCTCTTGAATCCCACCGCAAAAGCATCTGGTCCAGAAGAACATACTTTCCAATCTCATAGTCATATGCACTTCAGATTCCCTCTGATTGGTTGTTTGGTGTTTCAGATGCGGTTTCCTTTACCCTCTACAAAGGCCGGGGGTCGAATCCCCAGACCCATCCAAGCCAACCGATTCCGAGTCACCCGAGTCGGCGGCGTCGCCTCCCGCGGCGGTGGCTGGAAGACCTCCGAGGCGCTGCGGGCCATGTGGGCCCGCTGCTCCTTGGCCCCGTTTCGGCTCAGTCGGGCGCAGGTTGACACCTTTTGGGTCTCGACTCACGGGGAGCCTGCCAAAGCTTGTTGTTGTCTTTTCCGCTGGGTTGCTGGCTCCACGCCCTACTTGGATGGGCGGGTGTGGTTGCAAGTAGATGCAACACGTGAGACACATAGCAAGTGTGCCAAGATGTACTTACAAGTTTGCTATGGTGTATCATAGCAAGGTTGCAAGTCTGGCATGTGAGCCATGTTGCGCGCGCGACTTAGTATGTTGGACGACCCTACATGCATACACATAGCAAATGAAACAAGTACTTGCGAGAAAAGACCATAGGCTAAGTGGTACTTATGTAACTGGGCTAAGTGCAAACCGGGGCAGATGCATATAGGCCAAGTACAACTTAGCCAAGATTTGTTAAGTTGGCTAAATTGATATACTGTCTGTTTTCCGACCGTTGGTTTGTTACAAAAACAGTTGTGTGTGTGTGTGCGCGCACGCGTGCCAAACATGTGCTTTGTCTTTTCCACGCGCCGCCGTGGCCAGGAATGTTTTGGGAAAACGAGGCTTGGTTGCCATTAAAAAACGGGAGAGAAGGTTTTTTGCGACAACTCCTTTAACATTGTTCGATTTTTCCAAAGGATCCCGAAACTCATGTTTACCATTGCGCAGCATCAACGATTGCCAGGAGTTGCCTTTTTACAATATTTTGCTGGGGTTGTTCCGGGGAGAACATTTTGCAAACGCGTTCGGACCAAGTCTTCCCCTCCCCATGAACCAAAAAAAGAGAGGGTGTTGCGTCCTTTGATTGTAATTTAGTATATCCCCTCCAAATAATGAATTACAGGATTCGGCAGTCGCAGCTGCTGGCCAGCTGCGGTGGCGTGCAGGCCAGCTTGGGCGGCGGCGACGGGCGGGCGGAGTGGCCAAGCAACTTTAGGGGGTTGGACAGTATATAGGTGTATGTAAATGTACAAATATGTACTATCGTAGCTTCTTTGGGCCAACAAGTGGGACCAATGAGTGGTTTAGATTACAGTGTTTAGCTTGGAAGGATGTGGAAGGGGTCAGGGTTTTCATTCGGAGGAATTGGACTTCAAAAAGTGTTTCGTTGAGTGCCACTGCAGAATTTTGGGAGCGGATGTTCATTCCACACCGACCTCCAAACTCAAAAGCAATGAGTCATATCTGAAAAGAATGAACATATCTGGGTCAAATCCAAATAGTTTGGGGGTCTGCCCCTCTCAAATGGCTGTGGCCAAAAAAAGGGATAATGGTGACCAAGTGTTGGTGTCCTGCGTTCCCTTGAAAGCTTGGTTCTGGGGAAAGCATCATTCTGACATGCAAACAAACTGTTGTGTTGCCCGAAGCTGCTTAACCTCCTTCTTGCCCTTAGCTGTTTCTCCCCCCTCCCCAAAAAACGAACATGGATTTGCTTTTGGATGACGTCTTGTTCAACCAGCAGAACGCTGCTTCCTACTTGGAGCACCATCTGTGAGTGATATATGTTTTCACTCGCTCAATGTTTTTTTTGCAGCGCGTGGCCATAGCCACGCGTGTGTATACATGCTGGAGAAAATGTCAGCATCCATGTTGGAGCCTGTTCGGGCCAAAGGTGAAACTGAAAGCATGTGAAACACGCATTTGCAGCTTGAGTCTGTTTGAGCCAAAGGCGAATGTGAAACACGCATTGCAGTTTGAGCCTGTTTGAGCCAAAGGTGAAACTGGAAGGTTGTGCAACAAACATTTGCAGCTGTCAGTGGGTGTGTGCACTGATTCACTTGTTCCCAGCTGCAGCGGGGCAAGCGCATAGTTCGTTTGGACACATATATTTGGACTGAATCAGCATGGTGGCAGGGCATTGTCGCTCGCCAAACCACGGCAGGGCACGCAAGCATGCTCGCCGTGCGACAGACATGCTGCAGGGCATTTTGCTCGCAGTTTCTAGGCTTCTGCAAGGCATCATGGCGTTGACTGCCGACGCGCTCGAAACCATTTCCTCCATGGTGGAGCAGGCCAGTGAGGGCCGCATGGTTCAGACGATGGGGGCCCTGTTCACTTACCTCGAGGACAAGCAGCTGATGTGGCGTCAGCGAGTGAGCCCTAGATTCGTGCATTGCCATCCCGCAAATCGCGACGGCTACGGCCTGAACGCTATGGATTGTCACTCTTTGCTGCGTGATATCTCCGCCTGCGGGTGGAATTGGGCGCAAATAGACGCCATGGCGTGCGAGGTACCGGGGTCAGGCCCCTCGCACGACTCCGTGCTGGAGTTCAACGTAGCGCAGCAGCTCGGCTCGGGCGGCCTCCTGCCGACAGTCGAGCCACACACCATCAAACTGGCTTCGCTGAGTTGCAGCCACACCAACATGGCCCTGCGGTTGATCCTCGCTGAGATGGCCCACGAGTCTGACTCGCTCTGTCTGAACGGGCGCCTCAACCTGGAGAGGGTGCGCCAACACGACGCGCAGCTGTACGAGGCCTCGCAGAGTGGCCTGCAGTGGAGAGTGATTTCTGCAGACGTCATGCAAGCGGTGCCTAAGTTGGCCAGCCTTGTCCAAGAGGCAATGAACGCTGGCGGGCAACTCCAGCGGCGCGAGCACGAGCTCCAGTTGGCCCGCCGCATTTTGAACACGTGGCGGGAAGTGTCGGCTGGTAGGACGGACCCGGTGGCCTTCGCTGAGATCCGAGACAGGGTGCTCCGGAGCAAACCGCCATGCGCCCCGTGCTTGCCACACATGTACGGGTTCCTGATGAAGTGGGGCGGTGGCCCATCGGGCTCGGCAATGGTCGAGACGGAGTCCGTGATCAAGCAGTTTGGATCCTCCACCGAGAGATCGCTGGGCCCAGACTTTTGGGACGCCATTGGGGCAAATCTCAAGAAGGGAGAGGATGGCCTCCGCTTCAGGCACGCGCTGCTGAGACTTGCATACCTGTCCCCCCCAAAGTTCGTAGGCCCAGCTGACTGCAAACGCATGTGCAGCGCCAACCTGCTGCAGCCAGTTCTCCACGCGGAGGGCATCATGCAAGAAATGCGAGCGCTGGCATCCACAGCTGTCAACAAAGAGGCCATCATGCAGGACGTCTTCAGATTCGAGATGGCTGCTGTGGCAGTGACGCTTGACAAGCGGGTCAAGGGTGTCCAGAGGCCTGCCACTGTGGAGGCTTGCGCTCAAGAGACCATCGACTTGGTTGCCAAGGAGCACGGCGTTGTGCTGACCAAGAAGTGGGAGTCCCACAGGGTGACCGGCGACGAGGTCTCCACCGCTGCCAGCTCGAGCGGACAGAGCGCCGGCCCTGCGCCGCTGGGCTGCCGTAGGATGCTTTTCCGTGTTGACTCTGCAGATTGCGCCACCTTGACATTTTTTCTAGTGGAGATGATATCTAGGGAGTTGTTCGACACTTGCTTGCCTTTCGCCGCCACGCGAAAGAAATACCCAGGATGAGGCATTACGATGCATCGGGCAAGCCTGCCCATCCAGACGAGCTCTTGCTGGAGTACGGCTTCAAGGTGGGGGATTGGGCATGCCGCAAGGCAGACAAGGTCGTTGCTGTGATCACAGCAGCCAAGCCGGATGGATCCATCATCATCTCCATCAACGACGGCCTCATCAATGGCTCCGCTAGGGTTTCGATAAAGTCCTTTGCCGCGGGGGAATGGGTCAAACATACACCCAAGGCCCGGCCCCAGGAGCTCGCCAACCACTGGGAGCATGGATGCCTCAATCACCCGGACTTTCAGGCCGCCGTTTTCCGGGGGAAGGTTTTGCTGGAGCTGGACTGGCTGATCAGGGAGCACAAGGAGGTTCCAAAGAGTTTGAAGGTGGTCTTGAAGCCGAGCAAGGCCGTTGTCTCCATCTGTGCTTTCCAAGAAGGGCAGCTGGTGCTGGTTCCAGCCACCACCCGAGTGGAGGTGAAAGAAGGGTCCCGTGGTCACAGCGCAGCCAACATCCCGCTAGGGTGGATGAGACTTATCGCCACTGTGGTTGTTTTTTCCCCACACATTAGGATGAGTTTACCATCCCTCATTTTTCGGACTAGTCTACACAGCATTGTTCGCTGACATGTTCCTTCCAACTCCATTCAGCTTTCCCACCCAAATATTGGCAACTCGACCCTTCCATTACCATTCGGTCATTGTTCTGCGCTTAGGAAGCGACCTGATGGTGAGAAGCTCCTGTGGTCCCTTGCGCCCGTCACATCGGTCCCGAAGGATTCCAAACAGGGGCTGTTGGACACCTTCTGGTTCGTTCAGGCGACGAACGATGCAGAGGCTGCAAACATGGCCATTTCCCCTGATCTCGACGGCAAGGAGCTGGCCACCCCGCCGGGCAACGTCACAATTCCTCTCATGAAGAACACGGTCAGCATCACGCCGGGCACGACTCTCACGGTCTTTCGCCCCAAATCCGAGAAGCTGGTGGAGCTTGCGGAGATATTGCCGGAAGCTCCTCCGAAAAAGCGGAAGGTCGGCAAGCAGAACGGAGATCTCTGAGTAGGAGCCCATCTATGTTTTCGTACAAGCTCCAAGTATAAACCCATCGATCTTTTTGCAAAGGCTTGACGAAGATGTGCAGGCCTGTGTGATGGCATTGAAAAATGTTATTTGCGAGTCATTTTGCAGTTGGATTGCTCACGGCATGTCCAAAGTGCCAAGTTGCTTTCCCAAAAAACTTGTCACGCGTGTGCTTGCTGACAGTCGACGTTAGTCACCGCATTCCTTCAAGCAGGCATGGGCTTGTGCTCATGAGGCTTCTCACATGTGCCAGATCCAAAGCCTGACCAGCAACGCACACATCTATTCAAGAGCAAGTCCTAATAATGGCAATTTCTCCCAGGAAGGTTGCTAGAAACCATTCAGCCATTTGTGGGTCAAGCTGGCAAGACTGCCAGCTCTGGTGCAGGGCTCTAAGCTCGCCCATCTCTAGGCGCAGGGCTCTCAGCTCGCCCACCTGTAGGCGGTTAGGCAGGGCCTGTGGCTCGCCTGCTCTCCGCTTGGTGATGGTTT